GAGCAGGTGGCAGCCGTGCGTGTCTGCAAGTGTGTACAGGTGCCTGTGCCTGCTTCTCCGGGAGGGAGGGCCCTCTTGGCTTGGATGGGTGAATGTGCATCACTGCTGGAGTGTTAGAGAAAATGGTGTCTTCTGTTTCTATGGGAGCTTTTTGGAGTGTGGAAACATTTCTGTAGATTTTTTTATTTGTACTGAAAGGGTGTTCATACAGCAGCATGTTTTCTAAGTTAAAATGAGACTCAAGTCAGGCAGATTCTCAGGCATGGTGCTTTATTCAGGAGCAGAAGGTGTCAAGTGAGGGAAAAGAGAAAGGATTACTCCTGCTGAAAAAAAAATGAAGCACTGGAAATGCTGCTAGTGGGGCTGCATAATAGCAGCTGGTCACCTGTCACCTGCCACTGGGAGATTTTGGACACGTTATTTAGTAGTTCTGTCTGGAATAAGTGTCTGTGGAGGGATGTTAGTCTAGGTTAATTCCTTCTGGCTAATCTCCAAAGTGGATGTGCATTCTCCAGCTTAATGTGGCCCATTTCTGAAATGGATCCAGAACACATGTACCTATGGGAGGTTGATCAGCAGTAGTGGATTTGCTTTAAATCCACATTGTACCCTGAACCAAGCACCACCTCAGAACCTTAAGGAGGAAAGAGATCCCCAGCCTAGAAAGGGACCTGTGGTGTTGCTTGTTACTGCCACACAATGCCTGTGTGTGCCCAGCCCTTCCATTTCTCTCCCTCTCCCATATCCTGGGAGCTGTATGAATTAAAGCATGTAAGCAATGCTGTAGGTGAGGCATGCCATCCCAGGGTGCCCCTGTTTTCTCCTCGCTGGAGGGGGCACAAGTTGCACTCACTACGAGCCCATTTGGTACAGGGAGAGGAATGGTGGAGGAGGAATGCCAGGTAGCAGTGCAGTTGCATCGTCCTGTTAACGCTGCACAACTTCCACCCCTCCACCAGCAGAGCTGCTGTGGTGTCTGATAAGATCATCTCTGCTCTGGTTGCCTGATGTCTCCTATCGGAAATCTTCAAAGGTCCAAACGTGCTGTTGTTGAGATGGCAAGCAAAGAGAGAAGAGAGAGAGGGAGAGGGTGGATAAGATCACAATTTTCTTCTCTCTTGATTGCAAGCAGCTTATCTGAGTTTAACTGTTGTGGCTCGGCCTGTCTCTGCAAAACTCATCCCCTTTTCTTGCCTTCCTTTCAGAGGGTTGACGAGTGGATGGCGAAGGAAGGCCTCTTAGATCCCAGCGTCAAGTCGATTTTTGTGACCTGTGGAGACTGGGATTTGAAAGTGATGTGAGTATGGAAGGGGAGGGAGATTTTCCTGGGCTTTATTGCTCCATGCTTGCCTGTAGTGCATATGTCTTTGTCCTCAAACCTCCAACTGTCCCTAGTCTTTGTTTCTTAGGGAAATGATGGTTTGCCATGCATAACTGGGAATGGAGGGTTCTTTAAGAAGGCAGGTGGGTGCTGGGCATGGGGTGAGGTCACTGCCTAGGATATTCTCTGTAGTGAAAAAAATCATTCAGAACCCCAAGAAAGGTGTAAACTGGAGCTTTGTGATGTTTTCCCTTTTATCCAATGCACTTTCCAAAAGGGATGGATATTTCTGAGTGCATATGTGGAACTCTGTTTCTTTACACCCAAATCAAACAATGGTCCTTGCCTGACTTCCGCATGCAAGACTTGCTTTCTGTCATCTTGGCACAGTAACTGGATGTGAATCACAGAGTAGTCTTTGGTGGAAAGGGAGTACAAGCTGAGTGTGATATGCTTCTATCTGTGTTCTTACCTTTAAGGTCATCCTCATCAGCTGGGTGACTGTACCTGCCCAGTACCAGCTGGGGACCTGCACTGGGATCTGCAGGTGTCAGTGTACAGGTGTTTTGTTGTGAAAATAGCTAGACCAGCAACCTAAAAATATTATTTAAAAAACATTTATGTTTTTTAACCTGAGGTAAATGTCTAAGAATTAGATTGGTCTAATCTGTAAGGTGTTTGCAGATCAGTGTCATATTGTGCTGAATTCACTTGGATTCCTATAGTATCTCTTCAGCTTTTCATTTCCTCAGAGTGCTAGATAAAGACTCCTGTTGTTACCATGCCAGTAAAGCATGGACTTGACACATCCAATGCTCAACTGACATCCAGAACTCGTTAGTAGTGTTACTTGGTTTTCAGTGTGACACTGGTTTCCCCAGATCGGAATCCTAAATAAACTGCACACAGCCTGGGAGCAATCAACACCCGTTCTTCCCTGCAGAGTGGTCTTTGTAGAGTGGCAGCTCCTTGGCTCTTCTTGGTATGATTAGTGAGACACAAGATATGAGGACCGAAGCAAACAGCACAAGCACTAGTGGAGATGAGAAATTTGCCATGCTCCAGACAGGAGTGTGGTATGAGAGGTTTTGAGTCAAAGTCTGGGTCTCTGCTGGGACCACGTCCAGAGGCGGTATATATTGCCACTTCTGTGTTACTGGTTTAAATTAAGAGTGAGGCTTATTTTTCTTTATGTGTCATGTTTAAACTTTTTATGAGAGACCAGCACAAGGACAGCTTCAGGGATGTGCTAAACTTGTTTCTCAGCTGTTCTTTTTTCTCAGTTCTTTACTCTGGTACTGGTGTTTCGGGAGGTCCGTTTACAACTTTTGGTGATGGTTGTGAGGAACAGAGTTACCCTTGCTCTAAGCCCATCTTTCCACTGCTTTTACAGTGGGATAACAAGGTTTCCAGATAATGATATCCTAACTTGGTGTCTGTATGGAGCGGACAACCTTCTAGGGGGTGTGTGGTGGTGTTTTTGTTTTTTTTTCCTTTTTTTTTGTTTGTTTGTTTGTTTTTATTTTGTTTTGTTTTTATTTCAGAGCTCTAAAGTGGTCAAATAGAGGTAAAGAAGAGCTGTATTTCCAGTGATCTGTAGGGGTTCTGGGGTGAGCTGGCTTAGCAGGACATGCAGTTCTGGAGCAGAAATACTCAATTCACCATTTGCAGTGGTCTCTCGCACGGATTGTGCCTCACTAGTCAGATGGAAAAGAAGACTTCACTCCTGGCCATGAGGTTGCAGGAAGTGGTTCATTTCTCCCTCCTCATTTGAAAAAAATTTTTTAAACCATTAACTTCAGAATTCACTCCTGAAGCATCTGCAGGGCAAAGCAGAAGATACATTCCATGTTGCCAGCCACACGGGTAGCGGGAGCCTGGCCGCAGCCGCTCGGCGAGCGGCCCCTCACAGGGCTCTGTCACCGGCCGGCTGCCGCAGCGCCGAGCGTCACATCTGATTAGCACCGTGCCAGTGAATGGGGCTTGAGTGAGGACTCCCTGCCAGCTCTGACTTGTCTCATTTCCCATTACTTTTATCCGTCACCACAAATGCCGAGTCTCCCTCCTGAACTAATTAAGTTTTCGTGTGTTTAGACACATTGCCAAATAGGGTTTAGCAAAGCAGAACTGAGCGTCTCTTTTTAAAGAGGGAAGGCAGAGAGCTGAAATGAGGCCGCTTAGGCAGGGAGATGGAGCCTCGGCTATGTGGAGCAGCTAGGAGGCAATTCCAGGGAATCACCCCAGGCTTCTCTGCAAGACTTGTGGTGTAGCTGGTACCATTTGCCGTGTTGAGACCACATGCTGGGCACAGAAGGCACTGGGGCAGTGGGAGGGGAGGTGATGCTGCTTGTCCACGTTTGGAGGAGTGTGTTGGTGGAAGCATTGCATGGTGGAAAACCCACTGGGCTCCAGAGGAATTCAGGACAGTGAGGTGAGTGCAGTGCTTCTTGGCTTAGGGAGTGATGCCTTGGGGCAGGTCTGTTCTTAATTCTGCTGCTCCTTTTCTCCTTTGCAATGAGAGCTGCTTGCTCAGCTGCCTGCGAGGCAAGCTGCAGTCCTCTTAACCCAGTGTCTCATGTGGTTTGGAGTTCTGTCCTCCATTGTTCTTAGCTAGACTGTTGGTGGCAAAACATGCATCCTTATTCTGGCTTCTCCAGCAATGACTTGGGTATTTAGTGCCGTTGAAGAGCTGGACAGACCTGTCTACTGTGAGTGCTTCCAGTTGGTGCGAGGACACTGGAAGGCTGCAAAGTGGGGTGAGCAAGCTGGATGGCAGGGGCATGGCTGGAACAAAGAGGAGGAATCCACAAGCCCATCAATGGCGGATGTGGAGACAGGGTAGGGAAATAGCCCTGTCAAAACCAGGAGCTGCAATATGTGTAGCACTCTTAGCTCAAAGAAAATCACCAGAGGAATAGCACTTGTCAAGGTACTGCTCTCTGCTGATGGTGCCTGACAGTATCTGAGTCTGCAGGGTTCACGATGGAAACTAAGCGGCTAAAGGACCTGTGAAACCTCTGCTTGGCTCCAGGATCTTTGTGGAATGGGGCACTGTGTGGCTACAGACTTGATTTCTTTTGGAAGATGGCAGAGCTGTTTGTCTGGCTTCCCTCTGACAACAGGGAGTGCTAGTCACAAATAGCTGGGTGCCCAGAAGAGGACAATGAGCATCTGGTAAGGGTTCATGGAGGCTCAACATGAGTTGGGATCCTTGGCCATGCCACCAAAGGCTTTATCATGGCTGTGGTGAACTTCCTCCAGAAGGAGAGTCCCTGTTGGAAGCATGCTGGAGAGTCCGTTGCATGAGAGAGCTCAGAAATGGAGCACTCATCCTCTGCTGGCTATGCTTGGATCAGCCAGCTTTCACCACTCAGTGTGTGTGAACCAGGCTGGAGTCGGGGAGACAGCAGCTCTCCTGCCACCCCTCCCCTTCCCTCTTGTTAAGATGCAATTTCTTTAATGAGGAAAACCTCTTGAGTAGGAACATCACCTTTCTGAAGGCTTGTCCTGACAAGGCAGTTCAAGCCGACAGAGTCGCATATCAACTTCAGCAAATATCAGTCACTCATTACAGAGACTCTTTTTCCCCCCCACCCCCCAGCAACACCCCTCGTTCCCAGACAAGGGAATGAATCACACTCCTGCTCTTGAATACATCATGACAAGTCGTGGTTCTAATGAGAGAGGGCCATTCATTCTAGGTGGAAAGTTCCCTGTGTCGACACAGAAATGTTATTAATTAAAAGAGAGCTACCTGAAGCAAAAGATGAAAGGAGCACCAGACCTGCCAAGCTAAAATATGAGTGGGGATACAGCATCGTTAGGCACACGGTCCTCAGGCCTCTGAGTGCTCAGCGGGGAGGATTCCTTTAGCCTGTTGCAAGGAGCTGTCCTCCAAGTTTAACAGCTCCAGGGATGGATTCAGATACCTGGCATAGTCTGATTTAGTGCTTGGACCTAGGATGGAGCTGCCATTAGTCATTATGCAAATTGCAGTGATGTGGCATTGGGTGTTGAGGGTAACGTGCCTCTGAAGGGTTGAGGGAGCCGCTGGCTGCAGGAGATGGTTTCAGTGGAAGAGAGGGTACTCGGTGTCTGCCAGGGTTGAGACCTTGTAATGTAAGCTCTTTAGTGTGGTCTGTCTCCTCTGAAATGTCAGATTGCTTCCCTGCATGTACAGGACCAGTTTGCCTGCTCTTAAGCACAATGTGCATTAATCTCAGCAACTGAAGATATGTTATTACTGTGTTTTCATAGCTACAGAGGTGAGCTATGGTGAGGTTAAGTGATATGCCTGTGGTTGTGCAGGCAGAGTCGGAGAAAGGAGCCGAAGCTGCATGTGCAGAATCTCAGACCTGCACCCTAATGTCAAGAGCATCAGTTAATCCTCCTTCCAGTTTTGGATCATTCTGCAGATGCACTGAGCATTGGTAGGTGTACCAAAGCATGTAGGCTTTGGTCTTTATACCTCTGACGTGAAGATGCTTGTACTGCACTTAACTGTGGCTGATCAGAACATGCTAATTTATGTCTTTACACAAAACTGCTGCTCAGAAGTTTTTTATTTTCTTAAATAAGTGTTAAAAGGCAAGTACTCTCTAATACAGTGATAAAACACAGTGAAGTGTCTTGAAATGTTTATAGCCCTTGGTGCTCTTCCTAGGTTGCATATTAGTAAATTCTGAGCAGTAAAATGTACCACTGCTTAATTTTATCTTACTGTTTTAATTCTTTCTTTTCAAGTTACACAGGCTGGGAGGGTACTTGCCTTCTCAGACCAGCTCTGAGTGTGGTGATGAGTTGGTCTTTCCAGCCTTCTGTCCTGGAGGGTTGGTTTGAGATTGGCCTTAGGTCACCTCTGAAGAAGGATGGATGGTGTTAATGTCCCTTGGGCATGCTATTCTTTATCACAGACCGGGAGGGGCCTGGTAGTCTCTGCCTGAGGGAGAAATTGCAGACAGCCAGGGAACTGAAAG